CCCCCATGATGAGAAATATCTTCTATCAGTTCCCTCAGAACATTATGCGTTTCAATAAAATCACTCTCATTCTTATGAACGCTAATGGATGAAGGCCTAACCTCTGTAGCCATTCTTAGAACAAAGAACAAAGAAAATTACAGCACAGGAACAGGCCCTTCGGCCATCCAAGCCTGCGCCGATCCAGATCCTCTATCTAAACCTGTCGCCTATTTTCCAAGGATCTGTATCCCTCTGCTCCCTGCCCATTCATGTATCTGTCTAGATACATCTTAAATGATGCTATCGTGCCCGCCTCTACCACCTCCACTGGCAACACGTTCCAGGCACCCACCACCCTCTGCGTAAAGAACTTTCCATGCATATCTCCCTTAAACTTTTCCCCTCTCACCTTGAAATCGTGACCCCTAGTAATTGAGTCCCCCACTCTGGGAAAAAGCTTCTTGCTATCCACCCTGTCTATACCTCTCATGATTTTGTAGACCTCAATCAGGTCCCCCCTCAACCTGGCACAAACGTGTTAACATTTTGTGTTTCATGCTGAAGAACATCCATAAAACCTCTATGCAGCATTTTTTGGAGTCTCTTCATTTAAATAATATTCTGCCTTTGAGGATTCTTCCTACCAAAGTGCATTACCTCACTTTCTTACATTAAACTCCATTTGCCAAGTTTGTGCCTACTCACACAACTTATTGATAACTGCTTATAGATGTTTTACATCCTCATCACAACATACTCTCCCATCTGTTTTTGTATTGTCAGCAAATTTAGACAGATTACACTATGTCCCCTTCCCCAAACCATTAATACAAACAGTAAATAATTGAAGCTCTAGAACTGATCCTTGTTGCACTTCACTTGTTATGCTGTTTCAACCTCCCAAAGAGCTATTAGTCCTGATCCTCTGCCTTGTTTGCGCTAACCAATCTTCAATTCATACTAGTACATTATCCCCAGTACTGAGGGATCATATCTTGTGAAAAAATCTTCAATGTGGCAGCATATCAAAAGCCTTCTGGAAATCCAAATATATTACATCTACCCTTTTATCAATTCTGCTTGTTATATCCTCAAAGAACCTGAAAACATATGTCAAACATGATTTTGCTTTCACAAAACTGAGTTGACACTTTGATTGCATTAAGCTTTTCTAAACATTCTGCTATTTCTTTCAGAATAATGAATTCCAGCATTTTTCCAAAGATGGTAGGCTAATTGGCACAGTTTCCTGCTTTCTGACTCTATCCCTTCTTAAACAGGAGTGTCACCTTAATGGTTTTCCAATCTGCTGGAATCCTCCAGGAATTCAGTGGGTTCTGTAATATTTTGACCCACGTCTCCACTATCTCTACAACCATCTTCCTTAATCATAACTAGATTAGAAGGCTGAACCACCTGTGGTTAAAGGCAATCAAGGTGAGAATCCAATCCAAAACCACAGCAAAGAGGTAAAAACTCTATCCTTTTACAAAATACTGCAAATGTTCAGGTAAAGAGACCTAACCTTTGACTTTTTAACCATATTTTGGTTCTAATTCCTGCTGTGCTCTTCTATGTATACTTTCTGCCCCTTTCCTGTTATAGTTTGATTGGGATTTGCCTCTTCACTAACTTGTACCCCTGCTCTCATTTTAAACTTCACTTCAATTAAAACCTCCTCTTCACTAATTAGTTTAAAGCTCTATCTATAACCCTAGTTGTACAATTTGACAGGAGACTGGTCCCAGTGTGGTTCAAATGAAGCCTCTCCTAATGGAATATCTCTCCCTCTCCAGTGCACTAATCAGAAACCATTTCTCCCAGACCAATCCTTGAGCTGTGTATCTACCTCGCTAAACTTATTTAACCGAATGCTAATTTGCATATGACTCAGGAAGTAATTTGGAGATTATCATCTTTGCACTTCTTCTCTTTAATTTAGCCCTGAGCTGCTCATAATTCCTCAGTAGAACCTCTTTCCTAGTCGTCTTACTGGTCATTGGTACCTACATGGACCACAACTCAATCCTTCCCCCTCCTACTCCAAATTCCTCTCCAGGCCAGAATTTGGCTACAGTACATTCTCTTCCTTCCTCCAAATCATTTATATTGTAGACTGTTGTGATCCCAGCACTGCTCCCATGGAACCCCACTCGTCACAGGTCGCCAAGCTGAAAAAAAACTGTTGTGGTTATTGGAGGCTGCTTCACGCAATTATAATATTTTGTGAATTACAACACAAACATTCCACATCTTACTGAAAACCATGAAGAAATTAATAGAGATTTTATTCTTGAACCCATGTAAACAGCTGAGGCTGGTCTAACTGGTGACCCTGATTTTCACATTTTGGATGATCTTCATCACGGTCAGAAACAGATCCACAATGTGCTTGAAGGAACCCAATAAATTGGCACTGACTACAGGAGGTTGCAGCCTGTTCCGGGGTCCATTAGCAGATTCCGAAGATGTTGAAGCTGATTCAGTTGCTTAGAATCACTTGCCAGTGCAAACATTCCAGCCGTAGAACTGCAAGAAGGTAATGTGGATCTCCGTTTGTCTCAGAACAAAAAGCTAACAGCGTGTGTGGTGGGAAAGAGAAAGTATGTGAGAGAGAGAGAGAGAGAGAGAGAGAGGAGAGGACAGGAGAGAGAGATTGGGGGGTGGAGACTAAAGAAGGCAGCCAGAGGGCATCCCAGTCCTTGGCTTGTTTCTTCAGCATGCAGTCACAGGCCGTTCATTCACCAGAGGCTGGAAGGTTGCATCTTACTTTTTTCAGGTGGCATTGTCTATGAAATTCCTGCTGTCTCTGGAAGAGGACGGATGTAAATATGCAACTGCAGTGAGATGAAGAAACTCCTTTGAACTGCCATCACAGGGAAGCAGGAACAACTCTTCGTACTAGTTGCATCTCCAATGAAAGCAAGTGAAGCTTCAAAAATTCTGCAGCTACAGAAATATCCACAATATCTGAAATGTTTGACTTGGGGAGTTAAGGAGAGGTCTTCAATCCTGCAAAAATGTGGTCTCCTAATTCCAATGTATGTTCATAAACAGTGAATTTTCAGGCAGAGTGATGGATGCCCCATTTTCACTGGCAGCAGTTAACTGTATGCAACACTTCTTTACTTTGATGCACAAGAGAGCAACATGAATTTGAGGCATTGAGAAAAACCTCAATCAGCCCATCAAGAGGAATTTCAATAACTACAAAAAGCTATTTAAAAAAAAAACTATCCAGATACAAAGAGGCCATTCTCTTCAAACTTGGTCAAGGCTAGTCCTGATCACACAGAGCTTTAAGACATTGAAGCTGAAGAATAAAAGGCTCCAGTGAATTTTCAAAAATCATCAAGAGGCAGCCTAGGTTCATACACAATTGCATTTTGCAGATAGTAGCAGCAGTGTGTACAGTGTGTTGACGTTGAAAGGAGTGAATGCTTGTGGATGTGGTGGTAATGAAGCAGGCTGCTTTGTTCTAGGTGATGTCAAGCTTCTTGAGCATTGTTGTTGGAGTTGCACCATCCAGGCAAGCGGAGAGTATTCCAACACATTCCTGACAAATGCTTTGTAGATGGTGGGCAGGGTTTGAGGAGTCAGGAGAGGAGTTACTTGCTGCAGTATCCCTAGCCTCCGAACTGCTCTTGTAGCTACTGTATTTATATGGGAAGTTCAGATGAGTTTCTGTTAATCCCAGGATTAATTGTTGATGGTGGGTGATTCAGTGATGGTAAAGCCACTGAATGTCAAGGGGTAGTGGTTAGATTGTCTCTTAATGGAGATGGTCATTGCCTGGCATTTGTGTGGTGTGAATAATACTTGCCATTTGTCAGCCCAAGCCTGGATATTGTCCAGATCTTGATGCACTAGAATATGGAATGCCTCAGTGTCTGAGGAGTTGTGAATGTTATTGAACATTGTGCAATCATCAGTGAGCATCTCCACTTCTAACCTCATGATGATGGGAAGGTCATTGATATAGCAGCTGAAGATGGTTGGGTCTAGGATACTAATGAGGAATCCTGCAGAAAATGTCCTGGAGCTGAGATGACAGACCTCCAACAGCCACAATCATCTTGCTATGTGCTAGGTAAGGATTCCAACCAGCAGGCAGGCACACAAAAACAGCAGAATAAATCAACTACAAGGTGCACTGCAGAAATTCACCAAGGCTTTAGACACAACCTTCCAAACCGACAACTTCTACCATCTAGAATAACAAAGGCAGCAGATAAACAGGATCACCACCAGCTCCAAGTAAATGCAATCACACGACAACGACTCCAGTGATTCAAGAAAATAGCTCCCACCTTATTCTCAAAAAGGCAACTAGGGACAGGCAATGAATTCTGACCTTGTCAGAGACACCTACATCCAATGAATGATTAAACAAAATAACTTGGATTGGAGTAAGTTTTAATGGGTCAAATGTTAGTGGGAAAATTATGCATTTTTAATCTGACAATGCCACTAACTAAAATTAATCAAATTCATGCGTTTTCAGCATAGTTTATAGTGTACTCTTAGGACAAATGATTTGACCCTGTTTTTAACCCAAAATTAATTTCTTACCACAAAACTCCCTCTAAGCTTTTGGGCCTTCATGATCCAAACCATTGGAGCTGCTCTCAAATGAGAGAGTGGTGGTTACTTAACCTGAGGGTCACCATGCCTCAGGTGAGAGGAGAAGTTGAGAAGGAGAGTACTTCATGGTAATCTCGGTTGAGCAATTGAACTCAAACTGTTGGTGTCACTTTGCATTGCAAACAAGCCCATCCAATTAACTGAGGTAACCAACCCCATGTTACAATTAATGAGCAAGTAGTGATCACATCAGAACTTCACAGAATATCCATAAAACCGGTACTTCAGAATCAAAGAATTATTAATAAATATTTTTAGTTTAATACAAACATCCCTCTAAAACTTCTCTAGAATAATGGAAGTCTTTTTACAAGAAAAAGTCTAAGCCTAAATTACTATATTGAAAATACAATTAGCTCAAGTTATTGACTTACATCTTCTGTGGTCACTGCCAGGACGCTTCTACTTTTCTTCATTGTTAAAACGATTATGATCAATGGTTCCAGCAGCAGTGTCTCAGAGAGACAGATAGCCAGTTCCTTACAAGCTTGTGTATCTCCTAAATTAGAGCACAACAAATATATTAGAGTAGAAAGGCTGCAGTCAGAAACAAAGACTTGTAAAATTGCAATGCTGACTCTGAAGTCAGCCCAAAAAAAACACTTAAAGCAAGTACTAAGAAAAAATATCTAACATAGTTCAGTAATAAGAAACCAAGCAATAAACTATCAGCAGCTGGAGCATTCTAGTCAAAAAACACAACTGTTCAAACATTCCTATTATATAATTACCTGCTTTCTGCTACTTCAAAAATCAAGCACTGTGAGAGCTATTTACAGATGTCATTTGTTCAAAATTAAATTCTAGCTGGTTGTTAAGTAGAAAAGAGTCGACTGACCTTGTCAGTAATTTTCTTGCATTACTTTCATAATTTTTTTATTCCTTTGTGGAATGTGGGCATCGCTGGCTGGCCAGCATTTATTGCCTGTCCCTAGTTGCCCTTGAGAAGGTGGTGGTGAGCTTCATTCTTGAACTGCTGCAATCCACCTGCTGTGGGTTGACCCACAATGTCATTAGGGAGGGAATTCCGGGATTCTGACCCAGCAACAGTGAAGGAACGATGATATATTTCCAAGTCAGGATGGTGAGTGGCTTGAAGGGGAACTTGAAGGTGGTGGTGTTCCCATATATCTGCTGCCCTTGTCCTTCTACATGGAAATGGTCATGGGTTTGGAAGGTGCTGACTGAGAAACTTTGGTGAATTTCTGTTGTGCATCTTGTAGATAGTACACATTGCTGCTAACTGACCGTTGGTAGTGGAGGGAGTGGATGCTTGTGTGTGTAGTGCCAATCAAGCGGGCTGCTTTGTCCTGGATGGTATCAAGCTTCTTGAGTGTTATTGGGGCTGCACTCATCCTGGCAAGTGGGGAGTATTCCATCACACTCCTGACCTGTGCCTTGTAGTTGGTGGATAGGTTTTGGGGAGTCAGGTGGTGAGTTACTCACCACAGTATTCATAGCCTCTGACCTGCAATTGTACCCACTGTGTTCATTGTGGTGAGGATGTTTCCTTTAACAGCAACAGTCATATAAACCTTGCTGCAGACTGATTGCAACCACTGTGTTTATGTGGTGAGTTGAGTTTCTGGTCAATGATAATCCCCAAAATGTTGATAGTGGGGGATTCAATGATGGTTACACCTTTAAATGTCAAGAGGCAGTGGTTAGATTGCCTATTATTGGTGATGGCTATAGCCTGGCATTTGCATGGCATGAATGTCAGCCCAAGTCTGGATATTGTCCAGATCTTGTTACATTTGAACATGGAGTGCTTAAGTATCTGAGGAGTCATAAATGGTGCTGAACATTGCACAATCATCAGCAAATATCGCCACTTCTGACCTTATTATGGAGGAAAGGTGATTGATGAAGCAGCTGAAGATGGTTGGGCCTAGGACACTACCCTGAGGAACTCCTGCAGAGATGCCCTGGAGCTGAGATGACTGATCTCCAATAACCATAACAATCTTCCTATGTGTCGGGTATGACTCCAACCACTAGAGAGTTTGCCCCCTTATACCCATTGATTCCAGTTTAGATCAGGCTCCTAAATGCCACACTTGGTCGAATGCAGCCTTGAAATCAAGGAATTCAGCTCTTTTGTCCATATTTGAACCAAGGCTGTAATGAGATCAGGAGCTGAGTGGCCCTGGCAGAACCCAAACTTGGCGTCACTGAGCAGGTTATTGCTGAGCAGGTGCTGCTTGACACCATTGTTGATGACACCTTCTGTCACTTTGCTAATGATTGAGAGTAGACTGATGGGGCGGTAACTGGCCGGGCTGGATTTGTCCTGCTTTTTAAGTACAGGACGTACCTGGGCAATTATCCACATTGTCGGGTAGATGCCAGTGTTGTAACTGTATTGGAACAGCTTGGCGAGGGGAGGAGCAAGTTCTGGACCATAAGTCTTCATACTATTGTCAGAATATTGTCGGGGCCGTAGCCTTTGCAGTATCCAGTGTCTCCAACCATTTCTCAATATCACATGGAGTGAATCAAATTAGCTGAAGACTGGTATCTGTAATGCTGGGGACCGCTGGAGGAGGCCAAGATGGATCATCCACTTGGAACTTCTGGCTGAAGATTCCTGCGAAAACTTCAGCCTTATCTTTTGCACTGATGTGCTGGGCTCTTCCATCATTGCGGATGGGGGTATTTGTGGAGCCTCCTCCTCCAGTGAGTTGTTTAATTGTCTACCAGCATTCATGACAGGATGTGGCAGGACTGCAGAGCTTAGATCTGATCCATTAGTTGTGGGATCTCTCTGCTCTGTCTATCACTTGCTGCTTATGTTGTTTGGCATGCAAGTAGTACCTTTTGGCGGCTTCACCAGGTTGACACCCCATCTTCAGGGATGCCCTCCTGCACTCTTCATTGAACCAGGGTTGTTTCCCTGGCTTCGTGATAATAGTTGAATGGGGGATGCTGGGCTATGAGCTTACAGATTGGAATGGAGTACAATTCTGCTGCTGTTGACGGCCCACAGTGTCTCATGGATGCCCAGTCTTGAGTTGCTAGATGTGTTCCAAGTCTGTTCCATTTAACACGGACATAGTGCCACGCAACACGATGGTAATTATTTTCAATGTGAAGCTGGGACTTTTCTCCACAAAGACTGTGCAGTGGTCACTCTTACTGATACGGTCATGGACAGATGCATCTGCAGCCGACAGATTGGTAAGGATGAGGTCAAGTGTGTTTTTTCCCTCTTGTTGGTTCCCTCAACACCTGCCACAGACCCAGTATAGCAGCTATGTCCTTTAGGATCCGGCCAGCTCAATCTGTAGTACCGTTGCCGAGCCACTCTTGGTGGTGGACATTGAAATCCCCTGCCCAGAGTACATTTTGTGCCTTTCCCATCCTCAGTGCTTTCTCCAAGTATCGTTCAACATGGAAGAGTTGTAACCAGCAAGAGGTTTCCTTGCACATGTTTAAACTGAAGCCATGAGACTTTTTGCAGTCCGGAGTCAATACTGAGGACTCCCTGAGCAACTCCCTCCCAACTGTATTCCACTGTGCCACTACCTCTGCTGGGACTGTCTTGCTGGTAGGACAGGACGTATCCAGGGATGGTGTTGGTGGTGTCTGGGATATCATCTGTAAGGTATGATTCTGTGAGTCTGACCATGTCAGGCTGTTGCTTGACTAACTTGTGAGACAGCTCTCCCAATTTTGGCACTAACCCCCAGATGTTAGTGAAAAGGACTTTGCAGTGTCAACAGGGCTATATCTGCCATTATCTTTTCCAGCACCGAGGTCGATGCCAGGTGATCCGTCCAGTTTCATTTCATAACACTGAAGTATGTTTTGGAATATTTTGGAGAATATTTAAGGATGTTCTCTTTTTTGCACTTCCAATTTTAGCTTACAGTATCCTTTTCCATGGCTGTTCATACATTTAGCATTCAAACTAATAATTAACCCTTCTGCTGGCACATTCTTGCCAGGAATTCAAAAAAATATTACAGCAGGAAAGCTGGTAATCAGCCTGCAAGTTAGATACACCAGTAGCTGGACTTCCCAACTCATTTCCATGGTCCTTTTTGAGTTGCATATATTCAGCTAAGCAGCAGTACTTTGCACCCACCTGGGAGTAACATAGAGCCTAAAGACTAATAAAAGCCAATAAAATTTCAGGTTTAGCTCAAGAAGTACAAAATATATAATCCAAGAGATAATAAGGTCACAAACTAAAATCTTAATTATTTCAGTTGGTATACGGTGTATTATTGGTCAGAACAGCAAGGGAAGGAAATTGAGGTTTTACATGGAGTACAATCCAGATTCAAATTTGAACATGGTCAGTCATGAGAAATTGCAAATAGAACAGAGAGGTGTGAACTCTTACATCTCTTACTGAAAATATAACAAGGTCTTGGATTAGGCCTTTTCTAGAAGGCGTGTTGCAATATTTGAGGCTCTTCCACCATTGTCGATGGCTTACCAGTTTTCCTAGAGCAACACCAACAGGATATTCCTTGAGACCACTGGCAAGTGTTCACATCGAGATGGAGGTCCTATAGAGAGCCTGAATACAGAATGACCTTTGACATTGAAAAATGAGCCATTTATTGTATACTTCCCTCCTGCGTTCGATCTTCCAGAATGCATCACCTTGCATTTGTCCTGATTAAACTCCCTCTTTCATTTTTCTACCCAAATCTCCAGCCTATCTATATTCTGCTGTATCCTTTGGTGATCCTCCTCACTATCCACAGCTCCCCAATCTTTATTGTTCCCCACAAACTTACTAATCAGGCCATCTAACTCTCCTCCAAATCATTTATATATTACAAACAATAGGGGTCCCAGTATTGATCCCTGCAGTACACCACTGGTCACAGATCTCCAGTCAGAAAAACACCATTCCACTACTACTCTGATTTCTATGCTAAGCCAGTTCTGTACCCACCTTACCAACTCACTGTAGATTCCATGTGACTTCACCTTTTGTATCAACCTGCCTGGAGGTTTGCAGTTCTGGTCACCGCTCCATAAGAAGGATGCAAAGGTTTTGCGGAAAGTGTAAAAAGAGATTTACCAGGATGTGGCCTGATTGGAGTTCATCATCGACAGGGGAGATTGGATGAACTTGGATTCTTTTTGCTAGAGTTTCGGAAGCTCGGGGGTGACCTGATAAGAGTATATAAAATTATTAGCAGCATAGATAGGGTGGATAATCTGTTCTGAGGAAGGGTCACTAGACCTGAAACGTTAACTCTGTTTTCTTCTTCACAGATGCTGCCAGACCCGCTGAGCTTTTCTAGCAACTTCTGTTTTTGTTCCTGATTTACAGCATCCGTAGTTCTTTTGGTTTTTATTTGGATAATCAGAGTCTTTTTCTCAGAAGGAAATGGCAAATACTAAGGGGCGTAGAGGGGGAAGAGGTGGAAGTTTAAATGAGATATGAGAGGCTAGTTTTTACAGAGGGTGGTAGGGGAGATAGCAGAAGTAGATATAATAGCAATGTTTAAGTGGCATTTAGACAGACACATG